ACAGAGTCCTAGGAGACTGGCAGTAATGGACACCAGAGATGATGATGACTTGGATCAGGGATGTAGCAAGCGACATGGTGAGAGGTGTTCAGATTCTGAATGTATTTTAAAGATGAACAAGCAGGATTTCATGATAGATTAGATGTAGGGTGGGAGAGAAAGAGACATCTTAAAGTTGAAGCCACGGTTTTTGGCCTGAGCAACTAGAAGTATGGAGTAATTGGCATTCAATATATGTTTGTGGAATTACCAAATATTTATTCATTTTAAACATCTGGTAATTCATAGATAAAGGGGTCCATCACTTTTGGCTTCAGAATTGTGACTATAATGATTGTCATAACATTTTTCTCAAAATGTCCCCCTTACTCATTTCTCCCAGTTGGTGAATCAGTTTTTCTTGGATGTTAGATAAGAAGCATATTACACTCTTTGCTTGCTAATATCCTTTAATGATAGGCAGTGTAAGTCATATGAGAAGGACAACTCATATGTCAAAAGATGGGAATGAATTTTCATTGTCTTAATTTGGTTTAATATTCATAGCCATAAAACCTAGCTGTTGATTAGAACTTTGTGGGATTTAGACAGTGGAAGGAAGTAAAGTGTTCTCACCATATCAGTTATACCTCAGTAAAACTGTAAAATAAAAATGATAAAATTAATATGAGACAATAGAAAAGTGGGGAAAAGGTTATTACCACAGATTTTTTTTCCTGTTATGTAAGCTTCATGAGGAATTGACACATTTACTTTTTCTTGGAAGAATCAATTTTGGGATTATGCCTTTTCAAATTAGCCTAGAGAGTCAGGACTAAGAAAAACAATATATTCTCTACCTCAGGAATATTTAAATCCAAAATTTCTCCATCATTCTTGCCTAAATTTTACAAAGATATTTTATCATAGAATGTCTAATAAATCAACTGATAATGAATAAAATATTGCATCATTTTTTGTGTCTTAGAGATTATATTATGATATCATGAAATACTTCAATTAATAGCATGTAGTTATGTTTGTATTTTAAATTTTTATTTGTTAAAGGAACAGAAGAACAAATGTGAGTCTATTAATTTTCTTTTCATAGAATTGTCCATTTTTAATCATCTACATTAGTTGACAAAAACATTGTGGGTAATAAAAAATCTTTAAAGTCAATTATATGATTTATTTTAGTTCAGTTCAACACACTTTCTTGAAAATACACTATGTGCCATGTATGTGTGTACTGTGCCAGGCACTGTGCAAGAATTGGGATTTAAAGATGAATGAGGCATAGTTCCTGTTTTCAAAGAGCTTGTGGTCTAATGTGGAAGATAGATAAGTAAAAGGATAATTTAAATATTATGTGTAGAACTTCCGCTTATGATTATGAAGGAGCAATTTTATGGAACTTTCCCTCCGAACACAAACAACTAGAAAGCTGGAGGAAAAAAATGTGAAAAACTATTGATATTAAGGACAAGAGACAGTGTAAGACTGTGATCCCTGAGAGAAGGGAAACAAATGAGGTAAGCTCTATGATTGCCCCAGCTTTCTAGGTGGATGCAGTTTTTGGACAACAGCACTGGGAGGAGGAACTTAAGCAAAGGAAAGTGGTCTGATTGAGTTGAGGCTACAGAGACGGGAGTTCAGGGAGGCTGAGTTAGCTGGATTTTGCAGAACAAGATACCTGAGAAGAAAAAAACTACATCAAGGAAAACCTCCAGAAATATGCATAGAGGTTGCTTTGAGTCTTTCGCTGTATATTAGTCTGTGCATACATAAGGAAAACTCCACCAGGCCAAGCGAAGAAAAACTACTGCAGAGTGATCAAGTCAACAATTCTAAGAGCTCACACAGGACTGAGAGACATTCATGTTTCATCCTGTCAGAATAGAAAGCTCTCATTAAACAGAAGAGTCCTGCCTTAATAGTAGGATTAAATTAGCCTTGGATTTAAGGCTATACTAGACCCACTCTTAAAAAAAAAATCTTAATTGAGCCAGCCCTGATGGCCTAGCAGTTAAAGTTCAGCACACTCTGCTTTGGCAGCCCAGGATCAGTTCCTGGGTGTGGAACCACACCACTTGTCTGTCAGTAGCTATGCTGTGGCAGAAGCTCACATAGAAAAACTAGAAGAACTTACAACTATCTGCTGGACTTGGCGGGGGATGAGTGAGAAAAAAGGAGAAAGATTGGCACAGATGTTAGCATAGGGAGGATCTTCCCCTGAAAAAACAAACAAAAATCTTAAAAACAAGATTTGAACTTGATTCACAAGTTACTTAACTGCCTGCTAAATAATGAGCATCAACATGCTTCAGGGGAAGATAGCAAAACTCAAACATTCAACAAAATAGTAAACACAATGCCTAGTATCCAATCAAAAATCACTAGACATGTGAAGAAGCAGCAAATTGTAACATAGCATAGAGGAAATTATGTTAATATAAACATACCCAGAAATGACAGAGATGATGCAATTAGCAGAGGAAGACTTTAAAATTGCTCTCATAAATATTATAAATATTCTCAAGGACATGAATTTAATAAAGAGATAAATGGAAGATATACAAAATAATCAAAGACAGAAAACGCATTTGACAAGATCTAACACACTTTCGTGATTAAAAAAACATTCAATAAACAAGGCATAGAAGGGGCTATCCTCAACCTGGTAAAGGGCATCAATGAAAAACCCAGAACTAACGTCATCCTTAATGATGAAAGAATGAAAGTTTCCCACCTAAGATCAAGAAGAAGACAAAGATATTGACTCTCACCACTTCTGTTCAACAGTGTACTAGAGATTTTAGCTGGGACAATCAGGCGAGAAAAAGAACTAAAAGACATCCAGATTTGAAAGGAAGAAGTAAAACTATCTCTATTTGAAGATAGTATAATCTTGTGCATAGACAATCCTCAGGAATCCACAGGAGAACTATTTGAGTTAATAAAGAAGTTCAGCAAGGTTGCAGGATATAAGATCAATATACAAAAGTCAATTACATTTGTATTTGTGAACAAATACAATTACATTGTTCACTAGCAATGAACAATTTGTAAATGAAATTAAGAAAATTCAATTTACAATAGCATCAAAAAGAATAAAATACTTAGGAATGTATTTAACAAAAATGCAAGACTTGTACTCTAAAACTACCAAAAACATTGGTGAAGAAAATTGAAGAAGACCTAAGTAAATGGAAAGACATCCTAAGTTGATGGATTGGAAGATTTAATATTGTTAAGGTGGCAATACTCCTAAAAGTGATGTACACATTCAATGCAACCTCTATCAAAATCCCCAGCTGGCGTTTTGTAAAAATTGACCGATGTGACCCTAAAATCCATTTGGAAATGGAAAGGACCAAGAATAGCCAAAACAATCTTGAAAAAGAACAGAGTTGGAGAACTCACACTTCCTGATTTCAAACTTACTACAAAGCTGGTGTAATCAAGACAGTGTGGTACTGTCATAAGTATGGGCATGTAGATCAAAGGAATGTCATTGAGAGTCCAGAAATAAACCCATACATGTATGGTCAATTGATTGACAAGAACGCTAAGACAAGTTAAAGGAAAAGAGTAGTCTTTTTAAATAATGGTGCTAGATAACTGGATATACACATGCAAAAGAATGAATGTGGACATCTACCTCACATTATACACAAAAATTAACTCAAAATTGGTCAAAGATCTAAATTTAAGCGCTAAAAACATAAAACTCTTAGAAGAAAGCATAGATGTAAATCTTCATGACCTTGGATTAGGGAATGGTTTTTTAGATATTCACAAGCAACCAAAGAATAGATAAATTGGACTTCAAAATTGAAAACTCTTGTGTTTCAAAGGATACTATCAAGAATGTGAAAAGACAACCCACAGAATTGGAGAAAATATTTGCAAATCATCCATCTGATAAGGAACTAGTATCCAGAATATATAAAGAACTCTTACAACTCAACAATAAAAAGAAAAATAACACGATCCTAAAAATGGACAAAGGATTTAAATTGGCATTTATCCAAAAATGGTATACAACTAGTCACATGAAAGATGCTCAGCATCGTTATTAGTCAGTTGAGAAATGCAAATCGAAAGCACAATGAGATGCCACTAGTATGGGTATAATAAAAAAAGGTAGACAATAAGAGTGTTGGAGAGGCTGTGGAGAAATTGGAAACCTCCTACATTGCTGATAGGATCATAAAATGATATAACTGCTTTGGAAAATAGTTTGGCAGTTTCTCAAAATGTTAAACCTAGAGTTACCATATGACCTGTCAATTCCATTCCTAGGAATTTCAAGAGAATTGAAAACGTATGTCCACACAAGAACTTGTACATCAATGTTCATAGCAGAATTATTTAGAGTAACCAAAAAGTGGAAACAACCCAAATATCTATCATGTACTGATATATGCCCCACCTCCAAATACCATCACATTGGGGATTAGGTTTCTACATATCAATTTGGAGGGGACACAAACCTTGAGTCTGTATAAATGTGTAATTGGAGTCCCAGAAGGTACAGCAGAAGAGAAAAAATATTTGAGAAATTAGGAGATGAATCTTAAAGGATGAATTGGAGTTTGTTGTGGGGATAACAGGAGGAAAGGCATTCTAGGTAGAGGAAACAATGTTAGCAATATTGTGGAAGCTTGTAGCCATATACTGTAGTGAGTGCTATGCAGTGTCATTTCAAATATGCTTTAGTTATGAAGGATAGAGTTTTCTTATTATCTCTTGGGAAGTTTGTTTTACTTAGTGATGTTACATTATTTTGAATTCTCTTTTGGTAGTCTATCACGTAACTTATTCTTTTGTATCCAGTTATTGCTTAATGAATTCTGCTCAGTTTATTAGTTTCCAGGTGGCCAAGGGAAGCCAGTTGGGGCTTAAAATGAACCATACGTTGCTTAAATTTTTACTACATGAGAAAAAGTTAATAATTGCTGACGTATTTAAGGCAAAGCCTAAATAGTTAAAATATGGTTTTTGTTTATTTCTAGAAATGAAGTCAATGGAACAAGATAGTGTCCAGTTAAATGAACTTCAAAAACAAAAGAGTGAATTAATACAAGAATTATTTACTCTGCAGAGGAAACTTAAAGGTATTACGTTTATGAGTTAGTTAATTTTACCAATGAGTATAGTTATATACACATGATAGGGCCATATTATTCTTTCAAAGTGTATTAACCTATTGGAATATTATTGGTATAAAAAAGGAGTAGGTAAAACACTGAAATGATCAGTGTTAGATCTGGTATTTTTAATGTCACAAATTTTGTTAAGATCTTTTTTCTGCCTTTAATTGCTATATTAAACTAGAAAAATAGAAATCATTAGTACGTATATTTTACATGAAGCACCAAACATTAAGAGTATTATTCTTGTGAATGAAGATAACCTTTATGTTTAATTTTTAAAAGATTGTAAGAATTTCTTATTTGTTTAGTTTTTGAAGATAAAAGGAATGAAGCCATTTGTACTACCAAATACCTAGAGGCAGAAAAAGTAAAAATCAAGGAAAAGCCTCAAAATGATGCTGAAAGCCTAAGGTAAGAATGGCCTATTATTCTTTGTTATAAAATCTGGTAATTTTTCAAGTTGTCAAATAGATTTCAGCATAAAGCTAAATGCATAGATTTTTTTATAGTTCCAGATGAAGACATTATTTCCTTCTCTGTGTATTCTGAAACATGCTAATAAGCAAACACTTCACTGGCTAGAAAGTGCTACACCTAAGTTTCATGATGTATTGGGTTGATGATACTGAAATCGATTTTATCTTCTCTTATATCTCATGGACTCAGCGTTATTCACATCCTAATAGATTAAGACAAAGTATTGGTTCCACAACTCTCCTTTCTGTTTGTTATTCCTAAATTTAAAAAAAAAATGTTTGAAATTGTTTCTTATCTTTCTAGATTTCTGGAGAAAAAAATCACAATCTACTATTTTACTTGAAATGTGTTACTTTGGTTTTGTGCCTAAAGAATGAAAGTGTATTTTCTGTATGGAATATTTAGATGCTTTTTATGTACTTGGGTAATTAAAGAATGGCTGATGTTTGAAATGACATAGTAATATACACAAAGAGAAACTCCCCCCCCAGTTCATTAATTTGCCTATTATTTATTAATAGTTCAGTGTTGTAGTTGCTGGCTTAATGTTAAAGAAGTTCCTATACTATCTAGGCTTAATATAAGAAAAGAAACCTCATTACTGAATCTATGAAGAAGCAAATGAAGCTTTCTTTCACATAAATCATGTAGGAAATATGTCCACTAGAGCTGAACAAATGCTTCATATTAGCAGTGTATTGCCTTAGGCCATAATTTTAGTAGATTGTGAGAAAATATTTGCAATTTAATTTTATGTTAAGTTTTATAAGCATGAAATATCAATCTCCTGGGTGATATGTGTGATGCAGAATGAGTTTCTGTAATGACAATCTGCTCATTGATTTTTTTAACACTTGAAAAAATGGTAATGCCCACTGGTGTCATTATAGTTAGTAGTGTAAGGGCTTTCAATATGAACTCCAGTTTTGTGGGTTTATCTTTCAGTTATAAAAATTTGCCCTGGGTTAAAATTAAACACACAAAGTCTGTTACAGAGTGCTTTTTCCTTCTTAGATGGTGACAGATAGAAAGAAACACCAGTTCACGTACCTACTCCAGTTTCTTTACATTTTAGGAGTTATTAAATGAAATGCCAGTATTTATCAATTCCCACTTTAAATTCTTTGATATGTGTAGCTTAGTTTCCCTACTGGTATGTTTCATAAAGGTTATTTCAAATGTGAAGAGCAGAGTCAAAGTACTGAGTATGAAGATTTTAGGAAAGAGGGCCTTCAGACCCATAATCAGTGCAATAACAAGAAGCTAATGATGGCAAGAAAATGATATGACATTTATTCAACTTTATCATGAAGGCAAAAATTAAGTTGATTTTATCCTTAAATTTTGGAATAGTCTTTATCATCTGTGTGTTCAAATGTATACTGAATTCTGTAATAGTTGCCTTTTTCTTATTTTTTCAGGTTTAACTGCTACTAGTGTGGGTGCTATTTTCATAGCAGGGATTCTCAAACTTGGCACTGTTGACATTTGGGGCCAGGTTATTCTTTGTGGAGGGGGACTGTCAGTGTAAGACGATTAGCAGCATCCCTTGCCTCTACCCACTAGATGCCAGTAGCACCCACTACCCCCCAGCTGTGACAACCAAAAATGTCTCCAGACATTGCCAGATGTCCCCTACGCAGAGTGGATGTGGGCAAAATTGTCCCCAATTGAGAACCAGTTTTATTTTAAGGTTATTATAATTATACTTTTATTAAACTTTAACCAGTAAGCAAGTAAGAAAGTTCACCTCTATGAACTTATTGTTTCTACTTTTAGTAATTAGAAAATTTTGATACATATTTTATTCTGTCTGTTTTATTGAAATTCTTTTATAACAATTATGTTTTTTTAAGTTAATCTGCCATGTTTAGGTTATTTGTTGGATTCTGTCTTGATGCCACTCATTAACGTAGAGAACCAGTACTTTACATTCACAGTGGTTTAATGGTCTCTGCTTTAGGTAATCTTTCCTTATTTATAAATACCAAGATGTCTGTTTATTTAAAAGATTCTATTTTGAAGAGTATGGGATCATTAATTAGCACATGTTAAGGCAGCTAACTTGTAGAATATTGCTATGATTAACAGTTAAGTCAGAGGTTAGATTAATTCATAAGAAGCTTCCCAGAGAATTGTGTAACTATGACTGAGCTAGTTTTTTCATATAGTCTAGGGAGGAGAATGATAAAGCTCTGAGTCTTGAGAGGCCGTAAGCATAGAGGTTAAGATTTACAAATCTCTTTGAATCCCAGCTCTGCTATTTACCAAGTTAGTGACCTTGGACAAGCAGTTTAATTTGTCTATGCCTCAGTCTCCACATCTTTGAAATTAGGTTAATAAGAGCACCTACCTCACAAGACTGTAGTAAAAATTAAATGACTTTATATATATAAAGCCCTTAGAATAGTGCTTGGCGCACAGTAGATGCTCTATAATTATTAGATATAATTTTAATTATATAATTACTCATGATTTCATTTTTATTTCATATTATCCTTGTGTATTTCATATTCAGTCTTCTGTATTATTTTAAATTTTACCTATCCCTTAAATGCAGAGGGTCCCTAAAGGTTAATCATTGTTTGTCTTCTTAATGTGTTCTCTCCATGGTCTATCTCATCTGGTCTAATGATTTTAGTTATCATCCGTAGATAATTTCCAAATCTTTGTCCCTAATCCCTTTTTCCTAATCTCCAGTCCTGAATTCCCAACAGTCTAATATAAACATAGAAATAGATCTGAAGTGATGCTGCCCTGCTTGAACAAACAAACAAAAACAGAAACAAAAAACCTTATCAAAAGTTCAAGGGCCTTTATAATCTGTGCCTATCCATTATCTCCCTGCATTTCTGTTGCGTACCCTACGCTGCTAGTGCATCAGAGTACTATTTGTGGAATTCTGAATGTGCCACAGGCCTTCACACCTCTCTATCCTTCTCCTTTTCTTCTCTTTCTTCTCCATTAGCTAAAATCCAACTCGGGCCTCAAGGCCCAGCTTACATGTCATTTTTTGGGGCATATTGCTCAAATCCAAAATGTAGCAGGCATTTTTGACATGTTCACAAATCTCATCATTCTCACCCTACCCCAGTCCATCACCAAGTTGGAATTCTTCCACTTCTTGATCTCCATTGCTAACATTCTAATTCTAGCCACCACCATCTCTCACCTGGATCACAGTAACAATCTCTTCTACCTTTCAATCTCTTGTAAACTGAATCATGTCATCCCTCTTATTAAAATCATTCAGTGGCTTCATAATAAACATAATAAAACCTGAACTCCTTAGCGTGGCCTACGTGACTTGTCACAATGTGGCCTCTGACCACATCCCCGATGTTATTTTCAAACATGGTCCCCTTCTCGTTCTGCTCCCTCAAGCACTCCAAGCTTTCTTCCATCTAAGGACCTTTGTACCTTTCCTTCTGCAATTATCTGTTCACCTCTCTGCTTTCCTGTCTCCTGCCTGGTGGGACATACGGCATCCTTTAGGTCTCAGTTGAAATGTTTCCTCAGAGAAGCCCCCCTTACCCTGTGATCTAAATTGCATAACCTCTGTTATTTTCCTACTAGCACCCTGTATTTTTTCCTTTATAGCACAGATTCCATTTTGTAATTACATGTTTATGTGCTTTATTTTGTTAATGTCTCTCTCCACCGTGTGCTCAATATGAGCAGGGAGCCTGTCTACTTTGTTTACCATTGTAGACTCCCGGTCTAATACTTTGGTACATAGCTTGGCATATAGTAGGTGTTGAATAAATAAATGAAGGAATAAATGAATGTGATAAATTATGAAAGCTTTCCTCTACTGTTCCTTTTTCTGTTCATAGAGAAAATAGTTATAATTCTGTTCTATCATTAATCCTATTTTATAATAGTTATGTGTATCAATCTATCCTACTGGACTGGGAACTCCCTCCACTTCTTGTTCATTTTTTACCAGTTTCTGCATCTAGCACAGTCAGGGGCACATAGTGCTGAACAAATATTTGTTCCAGTGATTGAGTCTACATATAATTTTATTTTCACTACAAGGAAGATAAAAGTTCTTCATGTATTTTCAGTGTTATTTGCAAAGACATGGCATATTCTAACCACTAGGATAGCCCCATGGAATTCTTTCCACTCTTGATTTTGTCTTCCATGTGGAAAAAGCTTTACTGGTTTAACCTTCCTGGCCCCCTCGCCCCCAACACCCTCTTTTCTTATTCTAAGATCAAGAGGAGTGATTCAATCTGATTGGTGAGTTTGGAAGGGTAAACTGGAGCCCAGCCCCTTCCTTTTTCCTATCTCTTTGGAAGTTGGCCTTCCTCAGAGAGTGTGTGTTCCACTCTGCTCCTCCATCCCTTAAGTTTTACAGTGGTAGGACTCCATGAGAGAAAGCCTGTGGCATCCAATTCTGCCGTTAATGGTGTAAGTAAGGTTAGTCTGATTCTAGGGTTCAATGCTAGTAAGTCCTTTGCTTGCAGATGAAAGCCACATTCTCCTATATCTGCTATATTAGTAGTAAATGTAACATCTTGGCCTCCCTTCTGCCTTCTTTGTTTCTCAATTGGGCAGAATTTAGTCAGGAAAGATGAGTGTTAAGTATTGGACCCCTTCAAATTCCCAACACCTATTATTTTTATTATTATTCAACACCAGGGTCACCAAAATACAGTTCTTGATCATGACTTTTTATTTACTCCAAATAGTAACATACCAGACAACTTGAAACATTTCAGGCATTTTCCTTACCCACAAAATTCTTTCTAGAATGGTTTAACATTTTTTATAACCAGTGTTTGTGCCTGTTTAATACAATAGGAGGTTGGTTTCAGAAATGAAGCTGCAAAGTCAACAGCATGAGGTTTTCCTTCTGAACATTTGAAGATAGTGTGGTTTTGTGAAGAGCATATTTGCAATGGAAACTGCACCAAAGTTAATAT